GAAGAATGTCATTGGTATTTTGATAGGGATTATATTGAATCTGTAGATCACTTTGGATAGTATGGCCATTTTAACAATATTTATTCTTCCAATCCATGAACACAGGATCTCTTTCCATTTACTTTTGACTTCTTCAATTTCTTTCATCAGTATTTTATAGTTTTTAGTATAGAGATTTTTCACCTTCTTGGTTACATTTCTAAGTATTTTAATTACTTTTCAGCCATTATGAATGGATTACTTTCTTGATTTATTTTTCAGATTGTTTGCTATTGGTGTACAGAAACACTACAGATTTTGGTATGCTGACTTTGGATCCTGCAACTTTACTGAATTCATTCATTACATTTAATAGTTTTTTGGTGGAGTCTTTTGGGTTTTCTATATATAAATCATGTCGTCTGAAAACAGGGACAATTTAACTTCCTCCTTTCCAATTAGGATGCCTTATATTTCTTTTTCTTGCCTAATTGCTCTGGCTAGGACTTCCAGTACTATGTTGAATACAAGTAGGCACCCTTGTCTTGTTTCCGAACTTATAGGAAAAGCTTTCAACATTTCGCTGTTCAGCATAATATTTGCTGCAGGATTGTCATAGATGGTCTTTATTATATTGAGGTACATGTCATCTCTACATAATTTGTTGAGAGTTTTATCATGAAGGGATATTAAATTTTGTCAAATACTTTTTATGCATCTTTTCAAAGGGTCATTTGGTTTTTATCCTTCATTCTGTTCATGTCATCCACACTTATTGATTTGTGTACGTCAAAACAATCTTGTATCCCTGAGATGAATTCCACTTGATCATGGCGAATGATGATTTTAATGTGCTTTTGATTTTGGTTTGCTAGTGTTTTGTTGAGGATTTAGCATCTATGTTTATCAGGGATATTGGCCTGTAGTTGTCTTTTTTGTTGTGTCCTTGAATGGTTTTGATATTAGGGTAATGCTGGCCTTTCAAAATGAGTTTGGAAGTATTCTCTCCTCTTTATTGGTCTATTTAGGTTTTCTGCTGCTTCCTAGGCAGCTAGTTTTCAGGGAGTAGGGAGATGCAGCAGCTCGGCTGAAGATGCAACAGCACTCTGTGTGAGTGTGGCGCCATCACAGCAGAGCCTCAGGGGTAGAACAACACAGTGTCTACTGGTCCCTGGAGCAGGACGCACTCTGCAGGTGTCTCTGGTTTCAATATGGTGCTGTGATGTAGCAACATGAGTTATGGGCAGCACAACATAAGTCCTTCTGTGGAGTAATGCAGCCATATGAACTCTAGGAAGCTCCCTAACCAGGGCCCAGGGCTTTTGAGGACTGTAGGAATCTGTAGAGGTAACAGGAAGTGGGGGGGGCCTCCTGCTTACCTTTTCTCTGCATACAGAGTACCTCCTGGTTCCCAGCTGATCCTCACTGGAGAGACTAGGGGTGGCAGAAGCAGAGTGTTTTCTTCCCTTCTTTATGCAGCCATCCTGAGTCTTTGTGTCCGACAGGGTTTTTGCCCCTGCCTTGCTTTTTGTACTCCAGCGCTCCTCTTTAGACTTTCTAGTCAAATGTCATCGTATATTTGTTGTTTTTGTCCTTTTATTTTGGTGGGGGGTGACTGTTAGGTACCTCTAGTCAGCTATCTTATTCACATCCTGATTAATCTTCTTGATAATTAGATGGTCAATGACCACACAGTTGGCTGATGAATAACCTGGTAATGTTAAGGAATGGGTGCCAAGTGCCAGGAGTATGTCAGTCATAAAGCAAGCTGTCTTGATTATAGAGATTGGGGACTTGAGGATTTGGGTCAGGTAAAGAAATTCCCTTGACAGAACTCCATAGCTGTAGGGAAATATATCATATTACTTCTAGAGGCAGGCTTCAAGTTGAATCCTGTATCATTCGTGCAACATTTATTTCTTTAAACATTTAACAATTTTAATACCTATTATAAATTACAGTACTTATTAT